TGCCCGAAAGTGGCATGCACACATCATACAGGGTGGCTCGGGAAGAAGAGCCGAAGGGATTGGTACGGTAAAGTGGTGATAGAAACATCTGGCTTTTATAGCCTTGGCGTCTTCTGATTGTAGGTACTGGCATATGTCCGTGTTTGTCGATATTAGGACAGGTAGTCGTCGGAGGCGTGCGTCTGGCTGGTGTTTCACGTGAATGTCAAACTGTCGGCCCCCGAGAAGTTCCTTAAAATCATTCACCGTGAGCGGGGTGATTCGAGGCTCTTCCATGAGGGCGACAGCCTTGTTCAGCAAATTCATGAGATAGAATTGCGAATGGTCCCCACTTCGTTGAACTGTTCCATAGATGTAATTCTCCGTGAGGAGATTTAGCATCAAGGATTTGCCTATGAGAGGAGAGATGAGAGGAGCATAGGAATTTACCTGTGGTAGTGGGTCCTTGAATAACGAACGCATTAATGCGCTGTTCTTTCTTATTCATAATGTTGGTGAGCTGTGTGAGGAATCTATTCTTGTCGATGTTATTGACGGCCAGTAAGCGGTCTAGCCACCGACATCCTTCGTCGGTTGACCTGGGCTTTTGGCAGGTCCGATTGTGGTTGTTCCGGGAAATATATTCGTGGAGGGTGGTCGTCTCTTGCTCCTTTCGGAGTCGTTCTACATATGCTTCGCACGCGAGTTCGGCCGTTTCCTTCCATGATGGCCCGTGTTCGGCATAGAGGTTGAGCCGATCGTCATAGCTCAACGCATCTTTGAGCTCGGCCAATGTGCGGGCGTCATAGGTTTCAACTAGCTCCTTTATCAAGTCCACTCGGGCCTTGCGTTTGAGGTTGGTGAACTTTTGCCCTTGTGCGCGATCATTTCGTAGGAGTGTTGCACAGTCTTGTTCCACTCGTGTTGTTGAACGAGCGTCTGCTGCGAGACTTTGGAGGTCCCCACCGATGCTAAATATAGCATTTCGGTTATTTCGGACGAGGTATGCTGCAAACTTGTCCCAGTTGATGACGGGTTGACAAGTTGAGAAGATCGATACGGATTGAGCTGTATCCAAGTTGGCCGCCTGGATGATGCGCGTGATTGTCCTACGTTTGTTGTTTGGGTGACATTTGAATACGAAGTGGAAGTGGTCTTCGTGGTCGGCCCACAACAAGCTGATTCTTGTATGTGGGGTGAAGGTCGGTGGTGGACCTCGGTAAATAAAGGTCCAGAGCTTGTCTGGACCTGTATTGTCCTCCGATGTTGTGGAGGATGCGTCATCCGGAAACAGGCGTTTCCTAAACAAAGGTCAGTAGACAAAGATAGACTTACCTGGGTATGGGATGCGCGTGATTAGCGTTCCACCAAGGTTGGTATTCCTTTCTTGGTGTGGGTGGAGGTGACGGTGTCCACGGTTGTCCGAAAGCCTTTCGGATTCTATCGTCCATCCGCTGGGAAGATTGCGGAGGTGTATCATCCTCGAAGAGGTCCGGACTTGGTATCTCGGATGGGTGCGGTAGGATTGCAGGTGTCGAGTATGAGGGTGTTGGTAGGAGAACTGTGTTGTCAAACACAGGCGACGACATTGTCGGAATGACCGGAGAGGAGTGTGCAGGAGGTTTTATACCTCCTTACAAACCA